GAGAACACACATTTGCGAATCCGTCCCTCTTTCATTCGTCGTGATTGCTTTGATTGCTCTTAAAACACCCCCTCTCACTCAGGGGTAGCGATCAGATCTTCCTGCTTCAGCGGTTACGAATGGCGATTCTTACCACAAAATTAGACATTCCACTTTGAATTATGTTTTCTTTCGCTTTGTTTTGGCTTCCATCCCTGAGCTTTAGCCCTAGCTTTCTTACGAAGAAGAGGCTTTCTCAGATCATATGGGGGAATAAGACTCAACAACCGGTCGTTCAAGTTCAAGAAGCAAACCTAGGAAAAGGGAAAAGTAAAAGACTTGGAGAAAGAAATAAACTTTGAATTTTGGCATAGAAGAAGAATTCATCCATATAAGAAACAAATAAAAAGATTTCGTGGGGGTGGCGATGGAGTCAGATCAATCCGACGCGGGATCTATAGGCTCCGAATATCCAGTTAGTTTAGGATCCCGGGGACTGGAACGGGCGAAGCCATTGGATTGATTAGCCCAGGCGAACAGGAATGTGGTCGTCTAGATCGTACCTACGGAAAGATTAGGTGGACCCCTATACATTCATTGATTAGACCGAAACCAATCGAAGCGATCGAGCTACCCGCATTTTAGTTTTGCTTTATCAAGCAGGGGCTTAGCCGCTTCTTTCTATTATTTCTTATATTTCAGGCAGCATTGGGAAAAAAAGAGACAAAACGTCGAATGGCTAAAAAGCCCTATTAATGTATGTGGAAAGTCTATACTTAACACACCGACTCAATTGGAAGCTGACTCCTCACAGGGTTCGAAAGTGAAGGTTTCAATCATATTTATAACACTGAAAAAGGCATAACATTGATTTACACTCGATAACTAAAATTGAAATTGGCAAATTCTTCATTTAATGATTCACCTACGCGTGATACTGATCTTTGCATACCAAGGGGCTGACCTGAACTAATGTCCTATACGAGACGAAGGCTAGGGATGAAATGGCAAGTGCCGCGTCTCCTTCCACAGCGGATGATTCATATCTATCTCTATCTTCAGACTTGGGCAAAACAAAACTTCTATGCGATGAAACAAAGGAACAACATTCATTCCCTAAAGAAAAAGAAAACCATTACCAAGCCAAAAGATAATTTTAATTTCACAACCGAGATTGCAAGCATGGATCAAAGACAGAATCTCCTCAAAAATAAGTGATATCGATACAAAATGCTATAACGATTCACTAATGGAAGTCTTTCGATGATCCAGCTACTCAGACTGGACTCCTTTACTTAGTGGGTAGGAATTAAATATTGAGTTTGTTATTCACGGAGCTAACACTACTTGAGCTTACACCCGGACTCTTACTGTAGTCTCATTTCCAGTATCCTATAAAAGAAAAATACAAGTCCGTTTTTATATTCCTTATAGGTTGGGAAATAAAGAACGGGAATGAAACGAAATGAAGAGTCACAGTCCAGTTCCCAGGGCTTTATCCCTTCTCGACCAGACGAAGGAGATATTAATTCAATTCAGGCGGGTAAAGGCTTGGCTTGACTCTGTGTTCTCTCCTGGTCGGGTCGGAGGCGAAGACTGGCAAAGTTCATCATTCAGTGGTGGGGTGTTCATAGAAAAGAGGGTGTCGCCCAACGAGTGGCAGATTAGATTTTTATGGAGTCTCGCTCATAGATAGAGGAAGAGTACGCGCGCTAGCGCGCTACGCTTACGCAGTTGATCGGATCATATAGCCCTTCGGGCAACCAACCGCACATCAAATTCCGATCAACAACTTGGAGGTATGGCTGAGTGGCTTAAGGCATTGGTTTGCTATATCGACATACAAGAAGATTGTATCATGGGTTCGAATCCCATTCCCTCTGGCACGGAAGTGGAATGGGCGGGTGAAATTACGTGAGAGAAAGAACCTCTTGGTGTTGGTGGAGTCCCCTGGAGGATAGAATAGCACTACTTAGTGAGTGGAGAGCCTGTTGCGCGTTGTTTTGACCGGCCTATCTTATTTTTATAAGCAAGCTCCCTCCGGCAGTCCCTGGGCGACCCTCCTTGGCTAAGTCTGAAAGCCCATTTGTGTCAAGACTGGCCTACCATTCTTCCATCTCCGTGTCCCACGTAAGAGAAGGTTTGCGATCCTACACATATTCTCAATCAATATGCATTGAATAATGGTCCATTCCGGGTAAGCCAAAGGTTCCATTCACGGATCAAGTCATCGAATATATGATCTTTCTGATTCCGATAACCCGCATAAGATATCAATGAAGGCTAGGAAAAGGAAGAAGGCATCTTTGTAGCGGAGGTAGACTCTGGGAGTGGAGGAGAGATAGTCGATGGGATGGGCGGTCCTCCATTAGTCTTATGTGTTTGCAAGGCTTGCAAGCACCCTTCTGACATCCTTTAAAAGCTCAACGAGAAGAGGAACTTCAAATTAAAGTCTTGGAGATTTGCATGGTAGTTTCCTTGGCCTAAGGCTTCTCTATAGAATAGACTCTTCCCACTGCTAAGCTAATTCTACTTCCTAGCTAAAGGCTGACGCAAGAACAGCTTATCCCTCGGCTGAACTCCCTTAATGGAATCCCAGGAGGAGAAGAGAAAGGCCTTCAACCGGCAAAGATGCCTATCTTGATCTTTCGACTGACCTTCTCACTCTCCCTCAACTATAACTTTCCATTTAATTCGCTAAGTCGTTCCCTCTATCCTTTAACTCGACTAACTTTGTACCTTACACGAGACGCAGATTCCCAGCGATAAAAACAGCCTTTCGGAAGGATTCTATACATGAGGACAAGAAGACGCATTATAAGCCCATATAGATCCTAATAGAAAGAAGACTTTAAAAGGGAAAGTCGTTAAACCTTCCTATGTCTCCGGGTTTGTGCCGGCTGGATGAAATCCTATACCTGATAGCCATCCCGATAGTGACTTGATCTAATAAAGGGATCTTTAGTTGAATCATTTCCCCTCGGATGAGGTCTCGCTTATTTGATCTGATTTCCAGCTTCGCCACCCTCCCACCTATCTCTTCCATCTTCACGCCATCCAGAAGCCAGAATGGGAAATTCCAGAAAGATAAATGAGGAAAGTCCTGTTCTTTTACACGGTATGAACTAGAACATAGTTTGAAAGCCAATCTCCCTTCCACAATCCAGCTGAGGTATCCCTGCACGAAGTACTACTATCCTCCCGGATCAAGACTTGGCTTGCTCTATTCCGCACTGAGGAAGTTGTGAAAGATTGAGTTGAGGCTGGCAAACAGGCTATCGCTCATCCGCAACTACTAGTGAGGGGAGCTGTAGCATTAGCGGTTACGGGTGTCTTAATAGAAGAGAGCGGATAGAAATCTAAAATCTCCTCTTATAGAGGCTATAGGGATTTATCTGGGTACTGACTTGAGCAAGGGGTCAGCTTATTCTCTGGTTTCAAGATCAAGAGTGTTACGCAAACAAAGAAGGGATATACACTTGGGTACGAGACCGACTAAATGGATAGGAAATAAAGCTCAGTCTGAGTCTGATTCTTCTGAGTGAAGAACTCCCTTTCTTAACTATTAAAATTGCGTTAAGTAAGAGAAGCGGGCATAAAGTAGTAGCTAAAGTAGGATTTCATAGTGGGAGATGCAAGTTTTTGTAAGATGTCAATTTCAGTAAATGAAGTAGCAAGGGAATCTTCTTCAAGCAGAGGTGCGGAGATACTCGACTAAGCAGTCGATTCCCTCTTTCATCACAGTCTTGTAGGATAACTCCCCCAAAGCTGAATTCCTTCCCTACCCTATTTTAGAGGTGTGTTGACAAAGGAAGGGTGTAACCCAACAAGGAAGGGGCACATTGCCACTCTGACCATTACGGAAAGCAAGGTTAGCGTCCTAACTTCTTCTTCTTTGTTTCCCTAATTGCATACCAGCTTCTGAGTGGAAAAGAGAAGAGCAGCAAGAGAAGCTGCAAGACCAGATACCAGAGAATCAACCGGGAATCCACAAAAGAAGCTCGACCAGGGGTTTCAAACTAAACTGATTGACAACCAAGGGGTTTCCCACCTCAACAGGAAGAGAATGAGGCATCTAGCTCAGTAGCAGCGAGAGAGGGCTCTACTAAAGGAGAGGTTTGAAGATCTCGATTGTAAGGAGAGGAGTGAATTTCTCTTAAGCGGTTGTCTTCCTCCTGAGCTCTAGTTAAGTTCCTCGGATTGAGATAGAGAGCCTACTGACCCCTTCCCTTACTCAATAGGACTAAATAAATAGTTAATATAGATAAAGGTCTTAATGATTGGCTTGTCTAAGGTTGATTGTACCTAGTGCTTTGCTTAGTTAGTCGTTTACCTTTTCTTTGGAAAGATGATGTTGGAAAGCAGTTAGGAAGCAGCTCCTTATAAACCAGGGGCACTGACTTTCATTCCCGAAGGCTGGGAAGCAAGTGCAGAAAGGGGAGGACTCATTTATGTGAGAAACTATCTTATGAAAGATATTTTACGGATTCAATTACAGCATATGACAGATGCTTTAGTTTACTTGATATTTGGTTATTCTAAGAGGTAAGTAAGCTTCCTCCTTATTTCGGTCTTACGATCCACTTAGTTCTAGTAGAAGCTGTTCTGGTCATCGTAACATCAGTCGGAGATTCCATTCCTGTCGAAGGCTAAGTCCCTGGAATCTTCGACAGTAGGGTCAGAGTCAACCTAGTTCTCATAGCAGGGAGTAGCGACTGCTTAGTCTGTTAAGCTGCAATTCATTAATTGAAATGCGACTTCTAGACTGGTAGTTGTGTGCGGGGTGAAAGGACGAGAACCTGCTGGCATCGATACAGACTGACTTCTTAATTAGCTGTCATCAGGCTAGCCCGCTTGAGCGATTCCTTACGCTTTGGATATTTAGGAAAGCATGCTACATCTTCTGCAGATGAGCCGAATTGACTCCTTTTTCAGAGGTCATCTAGGAAAGGGGGTGGCCAATATTTTTAGTAGAAGATAGCAGTTTAGAGGATCCAGAGAGCTAAGATTCAATAACGGAAATGACTGTTAAGACCCTTAGTCTACTAAAAAAAGCATTAGGAGAAGCCTCAGTACACGAAATAAATATCGAGACAGCTGAGACGAAGACTACTTCACTATACGAGAATCCCAGGGGTTATGAGCCAGGAAGAAGAGGCCCTCGAGAGACCTTCCCAGTTAGTCAATTAAGGCTTCCCGCTAGGGAGGTCTGATCTTATTAAAAAGAGACATAGGAAAGAAAGAGGCCCTTGGACCTTATGAGACGAAGAATAAGGAGTTGACTCACTACCCCTGCCGAAGTTACTAGAGAACTACGACAAAGGGGCGGTGGCCTTTAACAAAGCGACTAGAAGACCACATATGAAGTTTCACCACATTGAGATATACCAACTTCGCACAATCGATATAATAAGGATCCAAAAAGACGATCTTTCGACAGGATGAAATGCTTCCTTCCGGTTTGACGATAAAGAAAGACATTCCTGAAGCTTGACTTGTGCCTTAGTAGTCTCAAATAGGACCGAATCACAGAAAGAGAACGAGTGAGGAGCTCTCATTTCATTCCCAGCAGCTTGGCTGATAATGAGGAAACTAATTATACCTTTACCGATTGGACTGGTCCAACATCTGCACAGGACGCCCTACCTGTTGGCGCAAGGGAATTTATTTAGGTAGGCTTTGCCCTGGGACCAAAGAACAAAGGGAAGCTCAGCTCTCACTACCAGTGAATGATGAAATGCCTCAACTTAGAAACCACAGCCCTTCTGTCGAGAGGAAAATCCTTTCAAGCAAGATAGAATCTTAGGGATGCCTTGCAGTTGAAGCCTTTGGGCTTAGCACTACTATGACCGAAGAAGACGATTGACTAAAGAGAAAGACTCCAAGAGCCACTTTAGCACAAGGTATTGAATAGCCTATAAGAAAGAATTATCACAAGGAAAGAGACGCTCTGGAAGATCAGTCAATGAATCAGCCCTTTCATTTCCCTTACAGACGAACTATAGTATAGAAGGAGACATGCTTCCTACTTTTCAGAGTGAGCGCCATACATTACTATAGCACACACCGGTCCCCAAAGAGAAAGACTTTTGTCCTTCATGAAGATTATGGGAACTTTATTCTATTAATAGTTTATGAAATGCCAGCTAAGGCGATAAGGAAAAAGAGAGGGGTAAAAAAGGCAAAGTTGCAGGAGAAACCTCGCTTTCATGGATGCTCCAGTTACCGAAGATCCGGAGGAGCTCTGATTCCCAGTTCGTTAATCAATAGAAGAGACCCACGGGTTACTTCCTTTATACACAGGAACAGAATAAGACAATTCAACATCCGAAGGACTCTACCGCTGGAATGACCGATGCCTGATTCATTGCTCGCTCACAACCCCGGTTTGCACTCCGATAGAAAAAAGGAAGGGAGTTGAAGAGTAAGAAAAGGGCTTACCCTTAGACCTGACCAAGATAAGTCAAACCGGTAGCCGAAAGAAAGGTCCCTTGAGCTTTATTAGTAGTTACACGAGTGCTCAGATCAATACCGAAACACATATAGAGTGCCTGGTCTTTAAGCCCGAGAATGCCACAAAGAAAGAGCACAAGCAGGAATCCCTACACCGAATCCATACCGAAGAGACTTGAAAAGGTCTCAAAGAGATGATCTACACCGAAAAGACATTAGGAGCACTCGTTCCTTGTACCCGGGGAACTTATTCATAAGGGAGGGGATCTACACCAGAAAAGGAGTTTACGGCCGGTTCCCATATAGACACTAAGGCCCACCCTTTCTTTGAACCTTGTCAATGATCGAACTTAAAGATATGAACTGAGTGTCATTTGATGAGTAATTGAGAACAAGGGAGAGGGATATGGAAAGGATGAAGTAATGAAAGACGAAGTCATTGCTAATAGTAATGACTTGTCACGATCCATTGGTTCATATAAAATCCATGTCCTAGGTGTATCAAAAAACATTCTTTTCGCTAAGCGTATATAATAAAATAGAGTGAAAGGTCCACCCCGAAAGGGGGTACTAACTAACAGCTGAGTCCTCTCCGAACCGCAGGAGATATTTTCCCATCATACAGCTCACCAACTTCACTTGCCTCCATGGGAGACTCGCTCCGGGCAGGTTCAGATTACAATACACGGCTCTACGAAGGAAAGGGTTGGTTGGTTGGGAACGTTTTCAATATTATCATTTTTCCGCGATTAGAAATGCAAGACGAAAAAGGAACCCATCTTTTCGACTGGGAAATGCGAGTCTATTTTGTCCACATTCTCCATCCCTCTCTATCAAAATGATAAAAAAGGAAGGCGAGCTTGCTTCTTATTCTCGTGTTCGATCTCTTCCATCTCTGCCCCGCTTGTTGTCACCTATGTTGAAGAAAGGTTTGGAACCCTGTAGAGAATGAGGAGGGGCCAAGGATCTTCCTCTCAACAGTGCTTCTCGGGGCTCCACTCCCCCCCCCCTGAATAAGTAAAGCCCCGTTAGCCTGGGCGAGGGGATAGGGAATAAGGATGGAAGCCTCCTTAACTCTGCCACGGACTGGACAGGGGTTAGCTCTGTAAATATGTAGAGCCGAGTGTAGTGTGGTGTAGTAGTTAGCACTTCTAGGCCCCTTCCCGACTACTGGACCACTCCAGTTCTTTGGGTACTATGGACCCTCTGCCATCCATTGCAGCAGAGCCGTTTCATGAGCGGGGGGGGCTAAGCGTGGTTCTTTGAATCAAACGTTGAATGAAATCGATTCTTTTTTAGATATAAAAATAAAAATAGGATAGGATAGATGGATGGATCTATCTTTCTATTAATATATATATATGACTAAAAAAATGGATTTATTTTAGTAGCGTAGCAAGAAGCCCCCAATCCTTGATTTGGCCAGGAAAGACTGCACTGCTTTGGGCCCAGGAAGCGAAGGGAATTATCTCGGATGCTTATCCTCCACACTTATTTTTTATCTCCGTTCCCCTTTCGCATGCGCTTCGCGCACCATTGGTGCTTTGCTCTCCTCTTATTCCTCATTGGACGGTTCGGATGGACTTCGCCGTTCTTTCCCAACAAAAATAGAAAAGGTTGTATCACATCGAGATGTCGATTCGTTTTCCGCCCCCAATGAGATGGGTAATTTGTAACCCCCTATTTTTACTTTTGTTTGGACCCTTCATCTTTCTGAATGGAGGCCCGGCTCGCGTCGTTCCAACAACCGGCGGGGAGCACCTCAGTATACGATCGCGCGCAGTACCTGGGAGTCCTTTTTTTTTACACCTAAGGCAAACTTCAATTCACCAAACCAAGGTTCATCTCGTGTAGTGATTGTGGACTCGTACAAGGATATTGAGTAGACGGTTGATGTTTCAGACTCGATCCTATCTTTCGTAGCATGCATTCCCACCGGTGTCGCAACTGATTCGGTAAGCTACGTGTCTGGTGCATGGAGAACTGCCTTCGGTCCCCCAAACTGACTAACTCGTGGCAACCTTCCGGCCGCCCAACAACCTATAACGCTAGTCACTACTCCCACTGGGGCTAGGAAGTAAGCCCCACAACCCAAAGCGGCAAAGAACAAATAGAATTTTCTATAAAATCCAGCTAACGGGGGTATTCCTACGTATGAGAACATAGTAATGGAGAAGGTTATAGCCGAAATAGGATTCGTTTTGGCTAGAGCGCCCAAATCTGCTATATATTTAACACGGGTTTGCCGTAATGCTAAAACTATGGCGAATGCATCTATCGTCATTAATGCATAAATAAAGATACCAATTAGTAGTGATTGAATTCCTTCTATGGTTCCACATGAGAACCCAGTACGAATATAACCTACATGTCCAATTGAACTATGAGCTAGAGGTCTTTTTACTTTCGTTTGGGCCATGGAGGCCAGCGCTCCTAAAATCATAGAAGCAATGCTGCAGAAACAGAAGATTTGTTGCAATGTAGCTCCATAGGAACCATAAATAGAAACACGTGAAATATTAGCAAAAATAGAAATTTTAGGTGCAATAGAAAGGAATGTTGTAACCGGGGTGGGTGAACCCTCATAGATATCAGGTGCCCACATATATAGAGTCAAAAGAGATATGGAGTCCGAAGGGGAGGGGGTTTTTCTTTGGGGCTTGAGAGATGGAATAGATAGGGCCCAAAAAGTGTTGAATTCGCCGCTGGGGAATTAACAAGAAAGGGAACGAAGAATTCTCGATGAAAAATAAAGTGCTCTCTGAACCGAACGTGAAAGTAGTTTTCCATCAGACGGTTGTTCCTGTAACTCCACTCTCCACTTGGATTATATATCCAAAAAGGTCCGCTCTTGGCCATTCCACACGCTGCCTAACAGAGGCGTGGTTATCTCAAGTGGATTCTCTCTTTTTTAGTAGATGACGAACCTGCTTCCTCATTGACTAAGAAGGGGGCGGACGCACTACATGGACCCCTTCCTTTCTGTTGTTGCGAACGCTTTCCTGGGCCGATATCTAAAGGGCAGGCAACGAAGGCTGCTACCCTAATAGGCCTGCGGGTGGAACGAGGAGAGGGCCTGGCAATCAAATCATACCACCGCGGTCGAAAAAGCATGTTCCCTTCAGATAACATGCACCGTAGGCCATCCTCGGCCTTCTTCGTTTTTGATGAAAAATAAAAATAAAATCTCGATCTCCGAAAGCGTTTTCCTTCCCCCGCCGCATCTCCCTCCCTTCGTCGAGCCTTTCCTTTAATGGTTGGGGGAAGCATTCCCTTATCTAAACTCGGCGGGCATTCTTTCCAGCCTTATTCAAATGGGGGTGGGTTTGGTTGGTTTGAACATAGGATAGGCTAGGCTCAAACATTATTTTCAGATCCTAGCTACGCCATACGTTCAATACATAATCTGGAAAGCTGCAGGGATGACAAAAAGAGGGTGCTTTCCTGTGTTGCACTGGGAAAAAAAAAGAAACCTAACTAAGTAAGAGAGAGAGAAGATGGATCCTATCCCCTATATCGAACACTAAATCCTATCTATTGATAGAAAGATCTTCATCAAATACCGGACTTTGCCTTTAGGAATTCCTCAGACTCATATCCAAGGCAGCTTACCACAAGCACCCCACCCCATACGAATAGTTGGGGTTCGCCTTTTTAATCAAACAAAGTCAGTATAAGTAGTAGGGGCTTCATAGCTACTTTCATTCTAAAGGAAACCGAAGAACCAACCTTTAGTCAATAGGAGCCCTACTTCCCTCTTTGCGACCTCATCACTTCAAAGCACAAACCCATTTCTTTCTGAGTCACCGGGAGGAGCGCACCTTTGGTACTTAAGTAGGGCGAGCTTTTTGATAGTTACTTCTTTTGTTTGGTAGGGCGACGAAATAAAGGCTACTTCAATCTAGGAAACTCGAGAGGGTCGCCTTTGGAAGCGTTTGCCGGTAACCAAAGCGTCACTCCTTCCTTTTGTTTGATTATGTCGTGGCGCTGATTGAATCCAATCCATAAACCCGGAAATGAAACTAAGTTCGTTCCCTTTCGTCAAGTAGGTAAAGTAGGCATACGAACCCACTTTTGCTTTGCCTTAGACTATATTGGAACAAAGCAAAGAAGGAGGCGGAATGGAGAAAGGACAAGGGCGGTCTTGCTTGGCGCAAAGGCTGCTGGTTTGGGGGTAGGTTACGGTACTAAAGGTCCTCGGACTTCCAGGCGGTTTTTCTTTTGGACAGCTGTTCACTGTTGGATCTCGCCAATACAGCCCCCTATTGTTTTCGTTACTGAGATATCTTTTTTTAAATTGTTCCCTGGGATTTTTGGGGTAATCCGCTCCCATGCTGCAAACAGTCAAATCTGAACTAAACCTTGTCGCTCTTCTTTCCTCGCGGGCAGGAAGCACACCAGCAACGTGCGTTGCGTGATTCAACTGTGTTTTTTGCACTTGAATGGGTGGACAGTTGACCGGAAGATAACTTAGATTCTCCCGGCTAGCCGGTGGGTGGCGTGCTTATCTTGTATGACAACACTACAGAGCGAGTGGCTCTTCTAGGCGGGAAGCTGTGTGACAACACTATAGAGAAAGCGGTGCTTTCGTTTAACATACTATGGTCTCAACGCCCTTACGAGATAGTGATGAGTTTCACGCGCTCTAAGCCCGGCCCGCGCCGCGCGCGGTTAGGAAGATTGGCCGCAATCTGAGCGGTACCACCCACCCTACCCTACCACCTATAGGCGGTCGTCCGTTCTACAGCCGCCCGAAAAGGAACTGCAGTGATCTTGAATAGGGATCCTACAGCGACAGATAGAATCCCCATAAAAATACCACTAGATCGAGCACTAGTTATTTCGTATCCGGTCAAAATCTTGGATAATTGATCGAAGTGGGTAGCTCCAGTAGACCCATAGATCATTGAACAAATAGGTTGGGTAGGCCCAACCACCGCAGTACACGTATAGACGCGAACCCCCCTCGTTACCGTACGTGCGACTCTCACCGCATACGGCTCGCACAAAGACTCCTAAATCCATCTCGAGCCTTTTCTTCCACCTCTCCTCTCCAATCCTCGATCAAACTAGCACTCCCCAGGCGCTATGAAATGGGGGTCTTTCCTTCGCCTATCGTATGTATCGGCTTGGCTTCGTCCGGAACCAAGGAGGAATTCTGGCGGGCGCGTGCATGTAGGAAGGCCGACCACTACGCTAAAAGACTACGACGACTACAACGGAAGTGAGTCGCTTCTATTCTCGTTGGGATTTTTCATCTCTGGGGAATCTATAGATCATAGTAGTTCGCCAACCTCTCTAACTAACATACGATACAATTTCACTTCACGGCATGGAAAAAAAGAAAGAGCTTCGCTCGGTGGGCCTTCCTGTGCTGACGAATGCCTCCTTTATCTTCTCTGAAGTCTACAACAAACAAGTGGGAGAGGCAGGATTCGAACCTACGTAGAAAAACTTCAACTGATTTACAGTCTATCGCTTTTGACCACTCGGCCGCTCTCCCCTTCCCGGGCCGAGGCCCCGGTTCTAAGAAGGAGGGAAAAACCCCCGAAATAAAGCTGATTTTGGGAACTAATACTATTTTTTAGCTTAGCTAGCATTCCGCTAGTCATTTAGTCAGTTCATAACAATCTCTGTACAAAGGGCAAAGCTTCTACGACAGCTCCCCCCTAGTCGCTTCTGGCGAAGCTGCGAGTTCATGAGCAAGTGAATGAATGAACGAGCCATGTTCCTCAACTAAAAAGGGAGTAAGAAATATAAAAAAACACAATAAACTTCCCACTTTTGATGTCCCACGACTCTGCTAGTTTATAAACTAAGGGGAGGGACAGGGGTCGCTAGGTCAGAAAAGCGATAACTAAAAATTCTCCCCAAGTAGGATTTGAACCTATGACCAGTCAGTTAACAGCCGACCGCTCTACCACTGAGCTACTGAGGAACAACGGACTTAAGTTAAGGAAGCCGACTCTCGTTCTTTAGACACCAACCTATGACCGAACAAAAAAAGGTTCATCACTCTTTTTCACATACACCGGGAGAAAAGGTTACGATAGCAAGCCCCTCCTCGGCCGGAGAGCCTCCAGGACAAGGGGGCGGCGGTCAACCATCCACTCTCGAGATTCATATTGATCAATCGATCTCCGCGTCCTGCCAGTTCGCTAAGTAGACTCACTCTCCCGAGGGGCGGGCAACAATTGAACTATTCCTGCCAAAAACAAGGGACCTACTTATCATCCTAGGAGTTAGCTGGTATGATTGCCTCTCTGTCTGTCTCTCCGAGTTTATACTACTAAGTAGCACTTCTGCTATTCAATCATAGAATAGATTCCGATCAAGCTGAAAGATGAAATAAAAAAGCCCTATATTATTGACATTTTAGTAAGCTAGCGCCCTACAATCAAAAAACAGCGCTAACGAGCAAGAAAAGGCCCCTGACTATAGTATAGATAGGCTAAGGTTTGAAGCCGCTCGACCCAAACAAGCAACGGCGAGCCCATATCAGAGAAAGACTTGGTCAAGCGCGCTAGCACGCTTTACTTAGAGGTTTGCGCATCCTCTTGCTGGGAGAACTTTCTCAAAGTAAACTTTCTCGCTTGTTAGTCAAGCTTTGAAGCCCCTACTTTCTTGATGGTTGGGATATTTAAAGAAGTGCTGGTTTGGAACGGAACCCTATACAAGGGGCTTTTCCCCAACCTATATATACAAGGTGATGGTCTCGATCTCGCTTGGTGGTGCCCCTCTCGATGATTGTTGACTCAACATTGATTTCGTGCTTGAGTTGGAGGGCCCTCCCTCCATAGAGTCAAGTAATTCGCTATCGTAAATTTAGCCGCCGCGTATCTCATGCCATGCTTCTTGTTTATCCGAATCGGTTCCGTCTGTCAGTCAATAAAGATTCGCCATCAAGAGAGGGAAGAGCCTTGACTTTCGGTTAGGCCGGTCTCGTCATTCATGCAATTCCCCCGTCCATCGATCGATCACGCGAGCATCCAGTCAGCACATAGCGAACGAAAAGTTAATCCTGGATTATCTTCCTCAATCAAAATGTCTATCAATTGATACCTATTCATTCGGTCAAAGTCTCCACGGCGTTTTCACGCCCCTCTACTTAGAGGTGCACCATGTTGATAGGAATCGGCAAAGACCTTCTTGTACACGTCCTAGAGGGCTGCATTCATGGCAATCATCACTAGTTTATCCCGAGGGCATGGTATGGCTTTGTTCTTGGTGTTTTTTAATAGAATAGATGTCGAGTGCCGCTTTTCCCCGTACGATAATCTCCATCTGCTCTAACTGGGCGAGCTATAATCCTTATGTCAGGTTGGTTGTTCAAAAGATATTTTATCTTTACCCTTCATCTTTTCCAAAGCCTAGACCCATTCTTCTGGATCTTTATTAGTCCTAGGTGCAAAGCCTCTTCAAGAAAGACCTCTTTCTTTCTCCTCCATTTATCATTTTTTTATTTGAAAGAGGATAAGTACTATCCATTGAGTAAAGGGAGGCTTTCCTACACTACAGTGATTCGGGCGGTTGGTGGCCCCTTCGAGAGTTGCGGGTCCTTGCCGCTGCATGAGTGGTAGCTCACGCTGAAAACTCCTCCGACACGAGTCCTAGTCGTTGCGCTGCGGTCTGTTTCCCGGCTTCGCTTGCGCGATTTTTTGCACTTATTTTATTATTGGTTTAATCCATCCCCGACCCTAATGAATCGAGTATGTATGAAGGGGTCAGTAAAGCGGTTCGGGTTCTCGGTCGGTTCCCGTTTTCCTGACCCCCCTCATAGTCCATTAGTGGGTAGGGTGGTCAACTTAGAGGGCGCCCGCCTCCTCTTCAGACGTGTCTTCGACAACCTGGCGGTTGTTCGGTCTCCGCTTTTGGAGGCGGGAGTGCTTGGTCGCTGGGGTTTCCTTTTCCTCAACCAATTCGGTTGTGTCAGTCCTGAGATTGGTTGGTCTAACATTTATGAGCAGGCTGGCTTAACAAAGATGGATGGAAGGTAAGATATATTTGAGTTCAAGTGGAACAAGACCTTCGATCGACCATGGGGCGTATTCTACCCTTACCAAATTCATTCTATTGAAGCGTAACGTAAAACTTCTCATGTTGCATTTCTTTGGTTTAGAAGTTCCAGAATGTTGTCTGTGGAATTCTAACAAAGGAAACCCCCCCCCCTTTTCTTTATGCCATTTGATTAATGAAAGTTCTGTGCTGCTCACCACTCCCCGAGGCCAAGGACGGGGTCGAACCATCATTCCAGGATTTGCAGTCCCATACATTTCCATTATGTTACCCAACCAAACCCGCCACCTCGTGTGCCAAAGTCAAACGGTTGTTCTTCCTTCCCCGCTCCCTATTTTTCTACATATGCGGTGGCGGGCGGAGCACTCGATATGACCGGCGGCGGGTTACCAGAGAAGAGGGGACAACTTATTTATCCCTTGCCTTGCTCCATTTTCCTTTTCTTATTTTAAGTAGCAAGCCACTCCACTACTGGTACAGAGGCCAGAAGTTTGCTTCCTCCATATGTTCAGGAAAAGAACATCTAGAAGCTAGATTTTGTCTTGTAAGCTACCATGCCTAAGAATAATAAGATAATTAAATTTGGCTTACGAAAGCAAAGTGGTATTACTAAAAAAAAGTAAATAAGCAACCAGTTCCGTTCCAAGTGACATGGCTTTTCACTATTCCTTATTCCTTTCCAGAGAAGCCCATCCAGCCCAGCGGATCCATTGTTTATGCGGCAGTGCGATGCTGCTTAAAAACGTAAGCCCTTAGGTATAGGTTGGGGAAAACTCCAAACAAAAAAGGGCCTTATTCTTCCTTATATTAAATATAAGTTTTAGAAAGGGGCATCCCTACCCCCTCAATTACAATCTAGCGCGCAAAGGCTTTTCAACCGTTGTTGCTTTTTTTTTGCAGGCTCGAAAATCTCTCTTTCGCCTCTCCTCCTTGTCTCCATTCTGGTTGATTCGCTTCTTCCTTCGCGCAAGCGCTTGGTTCTCCCCTTTTGTGTTGCATTTTTTTTGTGATCCCCTGCTTCAGTTTGCATTTTTCGGATAGCCGGGATCCGACGTTGATTTCCTATTTCTTTAAATGTCATCTCCATGTTTTGGGAGGCCCATCTGGTTAGTTCAACTATCACTGCTGGAAGCCCCTGCGGTTGTTCGGCTGCGTACTCCCCATTTGCGTATCTCACACTCCCAAAGCATCTTTTTTTTCATATTTCTTCCGGTCGGCTTCGTGCAGATAGATGTTTGCCGGGGGAGATTGGTGCTCCTGAGGTATGCCCTTCCGGTGGGTTGTTATATTTTTTGTCTATTCCATCCAGTGCCCGCACTGCGTCAGAAAATCTTCGTCTTCGATCTCTCTTCGCAATGAAATAAAGAAGTCTAACAGTTTCTCTCGGCATCTGTCTTTTAATTCATTGATCTCATATCTATAAGCATGGGGGTCTGCGTTCACTATTAAGCCTACGCCCGTCCATTCCTTTAAAGCTTTATCCCGCCCTTAGACTCGTTACGCTTAACACCCACTTACTGAAAGACTTGTTGGCTTCGTGCTCTATTCGGTCGGAACCCGGTTTGAGAACCTTCTCTCATAGATTCCTTTCACCAAGTCATCGCCAACAATCAGCTTTTATCCCTTGGTGTGGTGTCAGCGAGTTCCTTTCTTTTCTTGCCCAAAAACTTTCTTGATTCTCATTGGAGAAAGACTCTCCCGGGACAAGGTTTTACACATAGGGCCAGCTGCTTTCTTTATCTCGCTTCCCGTTAGTCTGTCAAGCGCCTTTCTTTCGGTTGGGGTCCGTCCCAGGGCTTAGACCGCTTGGGTTCTATTTTTATCGAAGGCAGTCGTGTCATCCATTCCTCTCCCATTAGACTTATAAATCCTTTTCTCTTTTTCTTTCTCTCCCTCTACTTTATTTGACAGGGGCGGATAATACCACTCTATCAATAACAAGAATACAGTAGAAATTAAGTTTCAAATGGTTTGAGCTTGGAAGCAACCTACTATCTATCGATAGGATAAAATAGACTGCTATTGGATGCTTTGCCTATCTATTCTATTATGACCGGCTTAGAGACATCAGAGGAAGACCGTCATTTCTATTCGGGTACGATCATAACTTCATTCATTCGTTAAACCTTGGGGTGGGGATAACCATTAGCATTAAGGTCAATCACCACACCACCTCTATCCTATCATACGACATTACATGAGGCGAGAGTGCATGGTCAACACACACCTACCTAAAGTGCCTACGTTCCGCTTGCAGCCAATACAAGCACAACCTAACTTGCACGAGATTCAACAACCGAAACTACAGGTAGTCCCGAGGGGACGGCATCCTCCTATAATAGTTAGCAGTACTGAAAAAGCGAGTCATAGGTCAGGGGAAAGAAAACGTCTGGAAAAAAAAGGACATCGCTCTAATCCTTGAGAACTTCCTTAATGATTTAGCAATTGAGAGACGGTTGCGACAAGTAAGAAAGTGGGCCACCCGGGAACTGGAAGAGAAAAAGAGTTCCTTTTGGATTATATAAGACTATTTTTATAAATAACTAAACTCTAACTGGGAAGACCCTTAATCACTTCTAGTGGACTGTGCATAGGACTACCCACGGAGCGGTGAAAAGACAGAGAGTATTCCTATTAATTCTAAGGGAGAACGAAGGACGGAGTGGAGGATGGAGGCGGATCGGTTGGAACGCGGGCTAGCCGGTCGGGAGGTTCGATTCCTCCCTGATTCCTATTTACTCGATCCATTGTTCGTGCAATCTTAAGGTTCATAGTCCTTTAGCTCTTATTACAGTGGTTGACAGTGGCTTATGGAAGTGGTACCCCTTTCTTTACTTTAAACAGTGGTTTACACAGGTTGAATGATACAAGAAGGAAGCAAACAACAGGAAGAACTAGAGCGGGTGTAGATGCTCGTGAAGGAACGGGTGCTGAAGCAACAGGAATCGGTCAACGAGTAGGAAGACTTGGAAATTCTTTTGAAAAAGGTGGCTAACACTAATATGCCTATCCACTACTATGGTGGTCATCATCGCTATGGCATGCACTGTGGCATGTTCTATGGTGCCTAGCCTATGCTGCTGGCCAACTACAGATCGATAGTGAGATTCTGATGCTATGCAGTTACAGATGCTCGTAATAGAGATTATGATCTTCGTTATCGGGAGTAAGATCCAGAATTAACTTAAAGTAGGGATCCTAGTGCTAGTTATCGGGGTTCTGTATTTCGTGATTGTTAGGAAGAGCCGGATGCTAGTGATCTAAATTTTTATGTTTGGGATCGAAAGATTCTGATGTTCGTAAGCGAGACCCAGATCCTCCAGTAGCACCAGCAACAGCAAATAAGCTACCACCTGATCTTGACCCTGACAGAATGGAATTCAAAGTTGAAGAAAAGTAATGATTGAAGAACCTCGTCTCACATCTCTTCCTGGCCAAGGTGGGAAAAGCACAACTCTGTCCAGTATCTTTCCCTGTTCTGATATAGCAAAATATCCCACCCAGTAGAATTTTGGATGGACCGGCGTGGATAGGGGAATGTCCCACCATCATATAGTCCAATTCCTTTCCAGTGCCAGCATTCCAGTGTACGCATATCTAGGCACAGTTCCAGTAGATTACCTTGTTGATCTGGGACCAGAGACTGTTGACTAAGTAGCAGATAGACCCTCGGAGGGGACGCCCGCAGCAGAGTCAGCAGAGAGAGCAGGGGCAGGAACATAACAAGCTCCATAGCCGCTTGTTAACCTAATAGCATGATGGGCATAGACAGTACCATAGGTTGGTTCCAGATCGAGCTATTAAAGCACCTGGCGGAACGAAACCTAAAATATGGTAGAGGAAAAGGAAGGAGTCTATTTAGTAGACTTAGTTGTGTATGTTGAGTAAAGAACAGCCCCGTGAAGCTACGAGCTTTCCCTCTGTATGGCGCGCATCCTTCCCTCCCCTCCTTTCTATCATTAGAAGCAAAGAAAGGCAGGAGTTGGTTTTTAGTCCCAAGTAACAGATTGAGTAGCTTTTATAACCAGCATCCAAGTAACTTCCAGATCTATAGTCACCATCAGTGTTAGATCCTCTAGGTGCAGGGGAAGCAAGCACCTAAATTGGTGCCTCTTCCTTTCCAGCTCCTCTAGTAAATAAAGGATCACCTTAGCCCAATAGAGCCTAGCCCGAGAGAGGACTTCTCCAGTGTGGATCGAAATGGTCTCGCGAAGCCGGTCCCCGGACAGCCAACCGAAGACTCTCAGAAAAAACAACCTTGACATGACCTCAGAATCAGAGATCAAGAGAGAAATAGTGATCAAGAATGACTCGATCCCTAACTGACAAATTCGATGACGAGAGTTTCAGATTCAGGAATCGAAAAATTCGTGACTATAGATAAGAATTCGGATATGCTGAACATCTTAGTCTGAGTATGCCGGGTATGTCTTTGCCCAGTGGATTGGAGAATCAATAGAGCTCGTGGTTGATCTTCCAAATCCCGATCCGCTTCTTCCCCTTTTTCATTGTATTAAATCGGACGCTAGCCCATTATATGAGAACCTATCGATGGTTTAGCTGCGGAGATCCTTCACCTTTTCCATTGGTCTTTGCTCCAAGCTTGAACAAGGGCTTTCTCTCTGCTCGAGTGGCTTGAAGCTACAACAATCAAGTTTGGGCCTTTTCTTGCTCTTCTCTTGTTCCCTCGGGCTTATTATATTAAATTAAGGCAAGCGGTGGAACTGGAAAACTATCAATGCTTTTCTCCCTATCTTTCCACTCATATAATGAAAAAAGAATTAATCTCGGATACGTCTTATTCCGTGATCCATTTAATTAATCATTAGAGTGCGCGTTGCGTGAGGAGTTAAGGGCTATTCCAGTCGATTGATCCTCCGCTTCTGGCCATCTCGCTCCCATCGCTTTGTTAGCTGACAGCCCCTATCGCTAATCAGAGAGAGGTAGCGAATCTAATGTTGTGGTGGCCTTGAGCTCTTCTTCTTTCTGCCCGCCCTCTTTGCCGCAGCTATTCCATCTAGTGGTATACTAGAGTCTGCCTAAAGGCTGCTCTTCTGCCTGACCCTTAAGTAAGGGCGGTGGAACTCTTAGACTTCCTTTATCCGCTATCGCTATGTCACAAAGTTGGGTAAGCAGTAGAACTCGTTTCCCTTTATTCCATGCTAGAAGTGAAAGCCCAGCCAAGTTCTTGGAGAATCTATAGTTTCTGGTGTTGGGCGAGATGGGGAGAAAACTCCACTCCTTGCTTCAGCCCTTCTTCTCCCACAAACAGACCTGGGTGGGGATCTCTACTCGAATAGAAGGCGTGAACTCATCGATGCTATGACAACCCTTACTTGCCTAACCGCAGCTGTTTTCTCAGGTCAAGTTGAGGGCTTGAGCTTCTATGATTCCTGTATTGTAGCTTTTGCGCCGGCTGTCTTATTTCTTTAACAAAAAGAAAGGCCAGTTCTTGTCTAATCGATAGTGGCTCGTTCCTCTAATTATGGTTGACCTGCCACTGATTGACTAACCTCAGTCAGGATCTCTGATCCCTACGACATGATCTCAGGTTCTTCCTCGGCCCCTTTCTTCTGTCTTTGACTTTTTTCTTTTTCTGTCCTAGGTAGGCTTCTCTTCTCGCTACTCTAGTCTAGTGGGGAAGGTCTGTTGGATTGTGGTGTTATGACTATTTAATAAATAGCGTATATAAAAGTGATGATATGATGCCCAGGCTAGGAACTGTTGTTATTCATAGTAGGGTGTTGTTCCCTTTCCCGAAATAAAGAGAAAGATCCCGAGAAAAAGGAAGTAGGATTCGGTTCAATCTGGGATCAAACTATCCTCTTTTCTTTGGCTTTGTCAAGCCAATTATCTGATCCGAGGGGGACTCTTGTGAAGTAAAGAAAGTTTCCAGGAGGGATCGAACCGAACTCCCACTCCAAGCTTTGGCATATGGAATATTTGATTTTATCTAGTCTTATGAGACTAGCTTTTCTTTATAGAGTACAAGAGCTTTCCCTATCAGCTGTAACTAGATAAGAAAGAATAAGTCCTGCTTTGCTTATTATAAAGAAATAGAAAGTCTAAATTGAAGACTTTCATTTATTTATATAATATGGATTGCCAACAAAGCCTTTTTTTGTTTGGGTCCAGGGTTTCTTTGTTTCGGACAAGAGTGTCCAGCACGCAAGGGGAAATAGAATGCCCAAGGAAGATTAGCATGGGAAGAAGTGATATTTTATTGGATTCCATTCTTGAGCCACTCACGAAGTCCATGGTTAGGCTTGTTCAGATCAGAGGGGAGGCCATAATTTTGTAGCTTTAGGGCAGGTTATGAGGACATGGTCAGTGCTTTCATTGATTCCTTGGCACCAACAGGATCCCTGACTAATGTGCCGAGTGTGGAGAAGGGCTAGACGATCATGGGCACAAAGCCAGAGGAAGTCGTTCACTCTAGGAATAGTTTGGGCAAATCCACTTCCAGTCACTCGATTGGAGTCTTTGTTGAGAGTCTTGATGAGCAGCCATATGGTAAGCATGTTTGCTTTTGAAGTTACCCTTGGGATCCGTCCTCCCTCTTTATTCTTTTCCTTCCTGACGTGAACGTCCACTATTTATACTAGATTATGGGGGTATCGTGAGTGCGGAGCCTGGGGAGTACGAATTAAGTGCCATTCCGAAGAGATGGTGATAGGGAAGCAAGATATGTTAAGTATAGAGAGTAAGCCGGACCAAAATCTTACTGTTTGTTTTTCGCTACGCTCCTGGTGAAAGCGTAATTCGGTACGGTAGAAGGGTCTTGGCTTCTTTTCTCGATCTTCTTTCGAAAACTATGATCAGTCATGGCAAACTCCGGCTGCAATTTGTCAATAAGAAGCTGAATTTGAGGTGGAAGTCAGACTTTTGTGTTGTATGACGAGGAAGACGTGGGTCGCTCTTCAGCAGACCCCTCCATTTGATCAAGGGCTTTCCTACATAAGTGGCCTCAACAAAGAAAGAGTTGAACCTTATTTTCGGGGAGCTGGAGCTCAGCTGGTTAGAGCAAAGGACTGAAAATCCTTCGTGGTTTGATTCCACTCCGAGTGAATAAGTTCCAGGAAAGGCGGGATGCTAATCAAATTACTCGATGAAGACTAACTTTCCAGCGAACCTACGCCCGATTTGAAGTTGTGTATTAGGGTAGGGATTTACTTTATCTTCCGTCTGACTAGAAGGTAGGACAGTCTTGTCTATTTACGACTGTGATTTTTGCCTAGCTTGCTCAGTTAAGTATACTTTAGGTTCAAGCAAGGGGTCAGTAGGAATCTGACTCCACATCACTAACAAGCCTGTGATCTTTTAGCGTAGAAAGAAGTGAATGGCGTGGCAGTGAGGACTTTACTTAAGCATAGAATCTGAATGCTTTGGCTATCCTATCCTTTCACTAAGATGCTTTCGTCCCTCACTTCATTCTTTCCTATGATATCCCCAAGAGCTGAGTCAATAGCACCTGGGGGTATGCCCTTAACAAACAATGGATAAGCAAACAAAGTCAAGCAGTAAAGGAAGAAGGTATTGCATTGGAAGAATGCCCGGGCCTTGACTTACCTTTCCTTTACTTTAGGCATAGCATTTGCCTATTTCCGCGAAAGCCTGATCCGTGCGCTGATCCTTCTTTCTATAGTAGGAAGACAAGATCTCAAGGGAATCACAAGTTCCATGGGTAAACCGAATCCGGGTATACCTAGCCAACAACCAACATCAGCTTCTAGGGAGAGTCTACTTCGCCAGGTTTGACTTGCCGGATCATAGACTATGTGAATAAAGTTCTATGGGTGACTATGTATGGCAGTGCCGCCCTCGTCCATCTACTAAGAAGGAAGCTGACTCTTTGTCAAAGAATTTAAGATCCGGGGCATCCACTTCGGGTTCATATTTTCAAGTTTGTTGACCAACTGTGTAATCTAAACTAGATAGAGGATTTGCAGTGGGCGTTTTCTTTTAAGTTTGACTGATTCGCCTTTAGATCAATCTCTATTATCTAACCCGCTTCTTCCTACTAAGCCAACTCTCTGATTGAAGAAAACTATTTTATTTGCTCGAGATTAGCAATATGGAAAGTATAGCAAGAAGGGTTTTTGAATAAATTAAGTTAAGACAGCGCTCCTGCCGCAAAATAAGAAGTAAAGGGCTTCTCCCTCGGGTCAACACCAAGGCAAGATCGATGCTTATAGCTTTCTTGAAAGACGTTCAAAAGCATCACTTCTTCCTCTATAAGATCTGTTGTGGATGATATAGCTGCTCCTAGTCCGACAACTGGAGCAACAACCAAGGATGGCACGTGCTTTCCTAAATCCATTTCACTGGGTGTTCACTCAAACTCCTTAATCATTGAATCCGGATCGGAAGGTGACTCCCCTAAGGCCTAAGGCTTACTCAGGTAAGACTTATTCCTTCTCCCCTTTCATGCTCTAAGCGGGAGGCGGGTCAGCGAATAAAGAAATGGCAATAAAGCCATCTCCAGTAGTCAATAAAAGCTGATCTACGACAAGCCTTCATCAATAGTTCAGCAACCATAGCTACTAGGCTAGTCAAGACAAGGCTAATTAATAATTTTAAGTCCCTCTCCGTAAATATTGGAGTTCTCTAGACCGAGGCGCTAAGGATGAAAAGAAAAAAGGCTCGGTCGTAGTCGTTAGAACGAACTCGGTAACAATGACCAGTCATTAGTTAAGCTGGCTTGGCTTACGCTTCCTTCCCTCGAGGACAAAGACCCTCTCCCTGACAGTAGGGGTAGCGCCATAGACTCTCTCTTTGGCTTAAAGGTCGCTTCAACGGCTAAGCTGCTTAGGCTTGGTGTACCAGGAAAATGCATTATATATATATATAGTGCAAGTGGCATCTTTCTTTTAGACTGCTTTACTTAGGATGGAGTCCTTGCTTAGGCGAGCTGGAAGCTATACTCTAGGCGGGCTTAGAATCCTCTTCTTTTTCTTCTGGGAATGAGCTATTGTAAGGCCTTGTCTTTTTCGAAAGCTAAACCTAAAGCATATTTCTTTTTTTCTAGAATAGGTGAATCCATGCTTATTGATTTCCTTCCCGAGTTGAGAACAGAGGACAATCCCACCCTAGCTATTGGACTTTTATCCTTATCGACTTTGACCGAAAGAGCTATTCTTTTCCTGAGACTGGGAAGCGTAAGGCCGGAAAGAAATTCTTGTACGAGGTTCAGTTCAGGCATAGCTACTGGAAAAGAAGTCATGCCTCATTCTTATTGATGTAGATGGGCAATCACCAATGGCTGAAATTAGAAAGGGCTTCGCTATGAATCTGTAACGACGTACCGACTAGCTCTCCGATAGACTCGTAGATAGAATGGCCTTTCATCGACCCCTTTCTACTCACCCAGGAACCGAGGAGACAAAGAAAGATAGAAGAAGAATTATTATTTTTTTCGCCCGAGGGTTCCTTTAGAGAAGAATCACGCTAAATAGATAGGATCCATTTCCACCAATTTCAGCAATTACAAAAAGTAGCGAATGGAAAAAACGGAGTAGTGGGTCTCTCAGGTTAGAAAAGGAAGAACCGAAAGAAGATCTCTAGTTGAGCCTTTACGCCTTTACTAGTAAGAGAAATGTCCCACTCTTGGCACATAATCTCTAGGATAGGTTCCGAAACGTGCTATATCTAGGGACAGGATAAGGGTCTTAGTGAATGAGGTGGGGCGAAAAGAGACCAACCGAGAGGGGCTATGTGCACTTAACGTGATCAATGGATCTGTCAAAGCTTTCTTTTATTACGCGTGTACCTATCTCCAACTCTGATAGGGGAAAGAGATTGAGGATAGTTTGACATAACCAGGCATTCATTCCTTAGTCACGAGTGAGCAGCTGCTTCTCCTAAAGACTGGGCTCCCAAGGCATAATACAAATATAAAGCGGATTAGGAAAGATTCCAAAGATTGCTTTACTATTAGACAGGGTTCAGGTTAAGTACGCTTAAAATAAAAAGGATAAAAGAAATTAATACTAAAAACTGAGGGAGGTCCGAAATGTCCGGGCTCTGCTTTCTTTGATTTGAAAAGAAGGTGAGAGCCTTAACCCTCTGGTCTGTGGGTAAACCATTAAAAGAAAGAAAGCAAGTGTCCTACCAGAGGAGCAGTTTATGAAACATAAATCCCGAGTAAACAGGCTTGAAGCTGGTGATCAAAACACTTGCTATTTTCATAGAGTTGTCAAAGCCAAAGCTGCTAAGAGCAGAATTCTATCTATCACCTCTGCTACAGGAGATTGAGGAACCTGCTTTGATTAAAAAGGAATTCTTGCAGCATTTTAAGAATTTCCTTGGAATTGCAGAAAGCAATGGTTGAGGTGGTGACACTGAAGAGATCAGATCATTGCTAAGCCATTTTATCACTGATGAGCAAGGATCTACACTGGTGGCTCTTATGACGGCTGATGATGTTAAGAAGACAATCTTTCTAAAGGAAAATAAGGCACAAGGACCTGACGGTTTTACTGCTGAATTCTTTCAATCCAGCTGGAGCATTGTGGGGAAAATAGTTACCAAACTATCCTTGAATTCTTATCTTCCTTCAAGCCCACAGCCATCCGATTATCTTCAATGTGAATGTGCCATTTTATTGGGAAAATTTGAAGCAATCACTTTTCCCTCTTTAGTGACAGTTCAATCCTGCCAGTTGAGCGTTTTCTCGGTCTTTTTGGATTAAAGTTCATTTTAGCCCTACCTAAACTGGCATAAAAATGTGACAGTTGATCATTTTCCCCGTCTTTTTGGCATAATCTAAACGACAAAGTAGGATCATAAGGCTTACGCACCCTGGGTATACAACGATATGAGTTCACTTCGCACCTTGCCCAGCTTTCAGGAAAGATCCGATGCAGCTATCAAGAGATATAAGCTTGCCAGCCCGGAGTGGAGGGAAAGAGTAGCTCCTTGCCAGCAGCTTAAAATTCTACAGTGGTTCAGTCTGATTCGTTCATCCGGAAGAAAGGATATGAGTATTTTCACAAAGAAGCTTCCTAATCACGAAGTTAAGGCCTCAGGAAGAGGGGCGTAGCGAAACAAATCCTTTAACAGCAACAAAGACTTCGGATTCTATTATTTAAGTGCTTTTTGCTTGCCAAAGATCCTACTTCTACAATTGGTAGGTCACCGGGTTATTCAAATAAGTTGTGTTTTATGTGGTTTTCCCATGTTATAACTTCCGTACCAATTCGGTCGATTCGGAATGGATCGGTTAAACATTCTATTAGGGAGCCTGGTCTTTACTATTCTGTGTGGTATTCATTCTCGTTTGGCTCTTGGAATCACATCCAGTAGTGGTTGGAACAGCTCGCATAATCCAACCACTTCACCTACTTCATTACCCCCAACCGTATCTCGTACCTCTATTGAAACAAAATGGTTTCATGTTCTTTCATCGATTGGTTATTCCTCTCCGTTCGTATCTCTTTTTCCAATTGCGGTGTCAATGAGTTTACAAGATTGAATGGCGTTGGGCCCATAGTTGGTGAATTGCTACTTCAAAAATGAAATGAGAGGCCATTCAAGCTCCGACACTGTATGCATACCAGCACCATGGATATTTTAATAAATCTATTGAGTAAGGGGGCTGAAATTAAGTGCGACCAGATCTCTGGCCTAACAGACCAAACAAATCTTGCCCAACTATAATCTTTCAAAGCATGGAAAAACGTCCTCCCCGTTTGTCCCATAAATAGGGCAATTTGTGATCCCTCTTTAGAATTTATCCAGGTTCGTTAATAAGCGATCCCTTCTCGCCAGCTATAGGAAATGCTTAACACGATTAGAAACTCAAAAAAAAAGTAATAGAAGTCTAGCCGGTCGAGTACCACATAAGGAGACAATCCTATCAAAGCGAATAATCCAATGAATTCCCCTTTTTTTTGCTTATTCAGGCCTCTTTCGGTTGCTATCTAGCTTTTCCGAATGAAGTTAGTCAGCTTCCTTTTCCGCTTTAAGACAAGTAGTAAGTCGTCTTAATCCAGCGACGAAAACTCTTGTGCTAGGAGAAAGGCTCAATCCCCTCGCTTTGTCGCCCCTATCTCGTTAGCCGTTACTTCTTCCCTCGCCTAAACCTAAACTAGTCCTACTCCTACAGCTTGCGTCGAAGATTCACTACCAGCTCTTTTACCGCCCGTAGTTAACTGATTGGAGTCAGGAACTAGTTTTTTGAATAGAGCCCTTTCTTTTGACTTTACTTTCCCAAAATAAATTATATTCCTTGACACTATATATAGTTGGCTGAAACCGGAAAGGCCTTCAAACAATCCTGTACTCCTGGCTCTAGCCCGCTTCATTGCATGAAACAAACGGTTAGGTTAGACCTCTGTATGGCATTTCTTCTCTAGAGACCTGTCCCCCCAAGATTTCCTTTTGGTCTTAAGAGATAGACTTGGCTCTCTTATCTTTCAATCTGGACTTGCATGTGTTCTGCGTATGACTATTTCGAGTGATTGCTGCTATCTGGCTTGATTTAGACAAGCAGAGAAGGATCTTATGCCACCGGTGATCGACCTGTCTATCTAGTATCTAGTACTAGGACTAGTAGAGTAGAGTAGAGGCACTACCGGGCGGGGCTTCATCGATCACAACTTCTCGCTTAGCTAACTTCCAAACAAGGATGCAAATCAACTCCTTATATAGAATGAGATCGACACATTCAATGAAGAAGCCAGTCCGGCAGACAAGCTACTTTCTGATTCTAGGACTGGCGGATCCTCTATCTATTAGCATACCTGTACCGGCATTTAGACTAGCACTCTCTCCCGCAGTAACCGAGAGATGACTGTCTACCTGATTCAGTCTACTGGCAATGAGTACCAGACTATGAGATAGCCTGGCCAGTGCATCCAATCTGATACCAGGCAGGAAGCTTATTGATTGTATCCCCGTCTGCTTTCCTTAAGATCTATAGAATCCGTTATAGATGAGCCTGCCAACCGTTCCACCGGAGCGGTTTGGTTTAAAGTCCCATCCATAGGGAGTGTCGACAGAACCGTCACACACCACTTATTAAGGGGATGTAAAACACGCGGGATAACCCAGTTACCTATGGCAAATATCCTACGCCCTCTATAGACTGACCTAGTCGGCCGAGGCTGGGCATAACCTCAGCAAACTCTGGACAAGGATGTCTGACTCTAACAGCTTCCTCAAATGCAGAACAACCTATCTGCGAGATGAGTTCATTGTTAGGGTCAAAATGATACCTCGTCCAAGAAAACCACAACGCTCCTAACCAATTAGCTTGTTGACACCCACAAAACTTATTCCAAGACTCATCAAGTTGAAACCTTGAATGGATTTCAAAGGGGAAGGCTCGTAAGACAGATGGAACTCCTTTCTTACGACGAGAGCCATTCAATCGGATAGGCTTCATCTTAGATAGTGTGGCCTTCCAGGTCGGATCCCAAGTCATTCCTTGTAGCAAAGGAATATTAGAGATAGACGGAACATACCTTTGCAGTAATTCTTTAAAAAAAAAGAATTCGCAGCATCGGTATCCAAGGCCTTCACATTAGAAGGGGGAGTAGAGATAGAAGAGAAAGTTGATATATCCACTTTCTTAGCCAATTAAAAAATATTTGCTATAGTAAAGAAAGATACAACTTGACTACTATATTTGCTTGATCATCACGCCTACGGATCACCTTACGGTGAAACGGGGGAATGATCCTTGGGAGTCCCGTCCTCGTGAGAGAGATGGGAACAGATAGTTCGGTCAACCTCTTAGGGTGAGTAGAAGAAGAATAGTGCATAAAGCATGTTGATGCTTATTTACAGTAAAGTGCAACATACAGTAACCCTGATCGACGGCCTAACTTTACTACCAGTTTAACCAGGTGATGAACACCAAGACAGATTTCTATCGTTAACCCACCGGTGACCACCAAAGGAATCTTCAAAAGAACCTTAGTTTAGTAGTAGGGTCTTTTCCAAAATGCCCTTTCTTTTCAAAGAGAAACAAGCTAAGAATCTCGTCCCCACATAAAGAGAAACAAAGCGAGAAGTACCCTTTGGTGTTCTCTACCATGAGTCAAGGGCTAGGAATCCACTGAATAGCTAGTAAGATAGATTGTGTCTAACAAGCTAAGAATCTCCAGGTCGTAAGCCTTTATACCCATCTCTAGCTTTTTCTAATTATATATTTATTTACTTCATTATATCATTATAAGTTAAGTTTCCTTCGAAAGATATGTGTTCTGGTTGTTGTGTCCGATAATATAAATAGTCTTCGCGAATATTAATGATTCTACAGTGGCATAGCTCCAGACATGGGCTTCTTCCCTTCAAACTATGGGTAGCCGGATGTTTAGCAATAGGATACCCTTACTTAAGTA